AGGAGTTTCTGCTGCCAGCCCGCTCTTCGTCCTCTCGGCTCGCGGCTCTTCCCTCCTCCGCCCACACTTCTGTCGCTTTCTTCTCCCCTATGTTCCTCCTCCGTGCCCTCTCCCCAGACATTCTTTCCTTTTTCTGCCCTCTTCTCCTGCCTTTACCCGGCACCCTCCTTTCTCACCAAGTGTGTGGAAGGCCCCTGGCTCGTGCCTGGACAGGCAGAGGCGACTCACACCGGGCTTGCGTGGCGGTGACAGGCTCAGTGGAGACGGCACGTGACCGGCAGCTGAGCGTGCGGGAGCATTTGGGGGGGCAGGGTGCAAGAACAAGGCGCGGGGCAGGCCCGTCTCAGCGGGCGGCGGCTGCCGTTGGTCGGTCTCCCCGTGAGCACTGCCAGGCGGAGAGCACGGCGTGCGCCTGTCCACCCAGCGAGGCGTTTGTCCTTGTTATCCTCAAAGCTCCCGGGAGCTGCTGGCCTGGCTGTGTGGTGCCAGTGGTGACGCGTCATGCAACGGGGTGACTGGGGTCACGTCTTTGTGTCTGTTTCGTTGACCCGTTTGGGGTATCTTCCTGGGAGCAGATACCCAGCTCTACAGTTCTGGGTCAAAGTTCCCCAGCCACTTCGAGGCCCTTGGGACTTTTTGCAAAGAAACCCCACCTTTGAGGGGACCCCCCCGGACAGCGTGTGTCCCCTCCCCGCTGCTGCCGGCTGACGCTTTGTGCGTGGTGTTCTCCCTGCCAGAGCCCGGGCGCAGCTTGTGCTGGTGCAGTGGGGTCCCCTGTGCCGGCCCTGCGTGTCCCCTCACGTCCCGGCCCTCAGCAGGTGCTTCAGCTCCTGGAAACCACTCCCAGCCGTCTGCGCCCGGCTCTGCCTTTCCCCGCCCTCTCCCGCTCCGCCATCTGCTTTCCTGTGTGCTGTGCAGCTAGTCCCTGCTCTCGGAATAAGCCTCTTCCCTGGGGACGGCCCGGGAGTAGCCCCGTCTGCATCCCCCTCTGCCCCAGCCTGTCCACACTGGGGTGCAGAAAGCCGGTCGGGGACTCCTGTGGGGCCAGAACCATTTCTTTAGGTAAAAAAGCGAGGTGCACTCCCCCAGAGATGACGGGAGCCACACCGTGTAGCTGCGCTGCGGGCCTCTGCCGCAGCCTGGGCTAAGCTGCAGCCTCGCGCTGGGGGTCCGGCCAGTGAGCCCCGGGGCCGGGGTGGGGGGCCCGGAGCCCCGCGCACGGCTGTGAGTGCCTGGCCTGCGCTCCTGACTCTGGGTGCTTGTTCTTGCACAAGCTGACCCGGGCACCGCTGAGCCCACGGCGGCCCCTCCGCGGCGGCCCTGGCATGGGCGGGCAGCCCTAGCGTCCACCTGCTGTCCGGTCAGCACTGAGGTTTCAACTTGGTGCTTTGCTTTTCTTTCTTGCAAGTGTCGAGACCGTGATTTTCACACAGAGCTATTGTCTCCTCACACTCATCAGAGTGACAGAGAGGGAGTTGAGCATATTTTTATCTCAAACGGTGCCTTGTACTACAAGTTTTAAAGTCGTACGCGCCACAACCTTCCCCTGGCGCCCCCCGCACCCCTCCCGCGTGAGTGGCGCCTCTGTGTGAGCTGCTTCTGGCTGCCGAGGGCTGTGGCCTCGCGTGTGACCCTGTCAGGACTGAGCCCAGCTAGTGACCCTGAGCCAGAGACGTTCTCAGGGGCGCCTGGAGTGACGGAGTGAAACCCTCACGCCAGAGACCCTCCTGCGTGGGGAGGGGACGTGCCGTGTCCTGCTCTACTACGCTCAGCCTCCGAGGCTCATGACTGGGGACTGGGGTGGGGGCTGTTTCTTCACCCTCCCCTGCCCATCCTGCAGGAATCCAGACAGCACCCACCGGGCCGTTATTCTTCTATCTGTCTGTCTGTCTGTCTGTCTATCCATCCATCCATCACCCACCCACCCATTATTCATCTATCCATCCATCTGTCCACCCGTCCATCCATGCATCCATCATCACCACCCAACCTTCGACCATCCATCCACCCACCACCCATCTCTCCCTCCCTCCTTCACTCCTTCCTTCCCTTTTTCATCCACCCACCCACCCACCGACCCAGCAGGCCAAGGCTGTGCCCAGGCATTGGGGATGCATCATTGAGGGAAACAGAGACGTCTCTGCCCCCAGGAGCTCGTCAGGACAGCGCAGGGTCTGCCTGCAGGTGGTGTCCACTTCCGTGTGTGTGATTGGTTCCGGGGAGTCGTGCTATACACCTGGGGGGGCCCTCGGCTCTGAGTCCAGG